GGTATGGTATGGTATGGTATGGTATGGTATGGTACGGTATGGTATGGTATGGTATGGTATGGTATGGGGTTTATTACAATTATTCTATTTAGTTTTTTGTGGTATTACATAAATGTAATCAGATTATATATTAAATGATTTTACTTATGTTTAACCTATGAATTTAATTTTATTATCAAATCCCAAACTATGCCAAAACTAATGAGTATATATCATATTAATTATAAAAAAAAATATTGTGTAAAAGTTTACTTGCTCTGGGTCATTACACAAACAAAAATGACCAAAAAAATTAAAAATAACACAGAACAGCTGTCAGCCAGTGGGCATCATTCTTTTGCCCTCCCATGAAGACACCTGTATGACTGTCTGTTTGCCATTTAGATCAAGCTCTATTATTCAACACCTTGACTGTAGGGACTTAGAGTGCAGCAGTGTGTAGGAGGGTCTTATGCGCCTTGAGAGCAGAGGCAAAGAGTTGTGACAGGTAGATAACACCTGGATGAATAATTCAAGTTGGCATAAGCGAGCTGAGGCAGTGACAAGAGAGAAAACACAAGACGTGAATAAATCATCAGTGACGGGACTAATAGACCAAACACAGGGGAGGACAAAAGTGATAACATCTCCAGCTACTTCCTGCTCGGGCTCTAATCATTACAACAATCTTGTACATGAATACTGCAGGTCTTACTAGACATACTAATGTAAAAGGATGTTACCATGTGCTGTTTTATCATGCAGAGAAATCAGTACTCTGGTTTGTTTAGTATGCCCGAGACATTCACCTAAACTCAAAAAAGCAGAAAATTTTACAACAAGGTTTTACAAACCTCGCTCTGCTCAAAAGCACTGTCATTTCTATGCCTAGCACCACACTAARACTTGTGGCCAAATTGCCACAGTCATGTGCAAGCTGGCATGAAGGGAAAAAGAAAAGAAGTGGGGAAGAAAAAAAAAGGTGGTAAACGTAAACATGCAGTCCAGTAGTTGGAAATAAACGGTTTGGTAGGATAAATAATTATTTCACCAAAATAAAACAGCTCAATCAACTACATAACCAATGATTGAGAGATTACAATCAGAATAAGTGCAAAAGCAGATATATTTAAAATCTAACCTGTTCTCAGGGAACCAAAAGTAAGAGCAACTCTGTTGAGCAATTCTGGCTTCGAGTACTTGTTCTCATCAGCCAAGACCCAGAAACAGCCTTCTGACAAATCCTGAGGTCGAATCTGAAAGCAGAAAAACATGCAGTTAACACAGCAAATACAGTACATCTGTACTGCCTGGAGGGTGGAATCTGTTGAGAGTCTGTCAGCCACACTACAACCTGTGATAGTGCTCAGAACTGTGAGAAATTTTAAAAAAACAACATTTGTGTGTGCACATATAGTAACAAAAAACATGTCCAGTAGGATTGATTTGATTGTTTAAAGTTCTTTTGAATACTTTTTTTCAAAAAGAACTCATTTCATCTGAAAAGTTTCAAAGCACCACTTACACAAAATAATCACTTACAGAATATTAAAGACTTAGAATTAATAGTATAATTTGTCTACTGGTTCATGAAATCTTTTCCTAACACTACTTGCAAACAAATACACATATCCACATGGAAAAAAGCATTGTAACAATCATTGAAAAAAAGATTCAAAACTATATCACCTATCTACAATTGTACTGATTTTATCCATTTSCTCTTCAAATCTTAAGAGGCACTTTAATGAAAAAAAAAAAAATCAAAGAAACCCACTGAAAAAAAATGGAATCTGTCAGGAATCACTGATACGTGTTAAAAAATGTAAGTTCGCTGAAGCACATGTAAAAGCACTTGTAATTTCCTTTTTCCTAATTGCCTAAAGATGGTTATCAAATGACCTTAGATCATGAGAGTTAGATTAAAAAAAACAAAAGACTTGGAAAAAATTTGAAGYAAAAAAAAAGAAAATACAGTATTCAGTTTTAAAGCAAAACTGCAGCTTCATTCAGAACTTCTATACGGAGCAAAAGCAGCTCTTATCAGAGTAACTGTGGTCATCCTTCGAAATGATTTCATCAACAGAGCACACAAATTAGCTCTGAAAGACAGACGGGTCTCCAGACTTTACGCTGGGCTTGTGAATGGAAATCTTTTCTGTGACAGCTCAGAGGGTATGAAAGACACTGCACTATATAACAGGGAGAAAGAAAACTGATAAGAAAAATCTTTTGCACAAATGGGGCCCGGAGGAAATCAAGATGCAATTGTTGTAGCTCAGACGGGGCCCAGCATGTTGGGAATGAATTTGYCCAAGGTCATCGCAGTGCGTGTATTTTTCCTGACAGTGCAACGTTGCAAAGGAAGATGACATTTGTAAATGTGCAAGGAATGCCTGTAAAGACATGAAAATACAACCTGACAAGATCGCTTTCCAGAAAATTGGCAAAAGGGGACAATTCTAGCTTTGTGACAATCGATAGCACACTGCTACAATCATGCATGGGTTCACAACAGGAAAAGTGAAAACTGTGACCTGACAAAGTGTGGTGGCTGATTTGAATCTAAAACACCTCAGAGAAAAATATGCACTGCAGCAAAGAAAAGTTAGAGAAATGGGAAAAAACTGCAACAAAGGAAGTATTTTGGTTTAAAAATGTATTTGATATTTTAAGTTTTAGACCAACAGAAGGCAAAAAAATGTTGTAATTAGGCTTTTCTTAGGTGAAGTGAAATACTAAGAAAAACTCAAAAGCTTTCATGTGTGTTTTTTTACTCTACAGTAGTGAAAGGTACTCACTGCAAAGTAAAAAAGCAAACCTAAAATTGGATTTTCTTAAATTTATAAAATGGTGCAGTTTTACTCCAGTAATTTTGGAGACATTTTATTCTGACATGTGGTTCCAGACTTTTATATAAACACTTCACTCAAAAAATCTGAGCTTAAATAAACACCAAAARATCAAAAATGTGACTTCTCCATACTAAATGGCTTTTCCATGGAGTCACATGGAGGCAGGGCTTAAAAGCCTGAATTTTGCCTGAAACTCTCAGACTGAAGAAGTCTCTTGGAGGAGAGACGAAACGTTTCATTAGAGAAGAACCCGTCCAGAAGACCTATACAATTTTTTTTCTTTTTGCCTTTCCATGGATTTTCCATAGTTGACCTATTTTCAGTTACTTTGGCCATTCCCCTAGGTAAATAAGTTGTTTGCACATTTTACTTAAAACTTTTTAAGGATACATTTACTGCATTGCAATAAGTGCCTTCAACGAGAAAGCATGAAGCCAGTACTGTGTGATGGCCTGTTTTTCTCAAACTGTTTGCAGGAAACAACAAGAAGTTTCCAATATTCCAGAAGAAGTTTCAAAACAGCTAAAACTTTCACCATACGCRGACGTCTCATTCAGTTATGGCACATCCTTCTTGTGCCTTTCTACAAAGTTCACTTGAAAATTTGAACATATGTTGAAGTTTCTTAAACACCTGTACCGGTGTAATTCTTAGAGCAAGTTATTAATCAAAGTAAGATCTAAAACCTCTTGTGGTATCAACTATTATCACTCTGCAGAGAGCAACATCTGCAGCAGTATCAAGAAGGTTGCTTCAAGAAAAGCATCTAATCATCTGTTACTTTAAATCTTGGCACAGAAGTTAAAAAAATATGTTGTTTAATACTTGGAAAACATCTGTACTGTTCAGTTGCTGCCAAAGAAACATCAGGAACAAAACAGAAGCAGAGAATTAGGACACTAGACATGCCTGGCCTGAATTTTTACTTTCTTGTTGAAAAGTTTTGGGGGGAAAATATATTTAAAAAAAATCACAATCCAGACCATAAACATCACTTATAACTCATTTTAGTTTAAAATCACACTGATTAAAATGTATTTAATAATGCGTCAGAAGTTATTTCTCAAATGAACATGRTCTTTTTCAGCCTTGTGTTCCAAGAAACAAAAATAAATAAAATCTGAATCTATCTTCAGAATGCTGAGCAGAGTCTCACCTTGGACCAGTTGAGGCGCTTCATGGAGGTCTCCAGCTTGAACTCCTTCTTGGGCCTGAGGCCAAAAGGCAGCGTGTGGTTGGTGGGTGAGCCAAAGGCACCTCCAAATCCTAGAGGAGGCGGCGGCGGGGCACCGAACGGAGGAGGAGGCACTCCTGGTGGAGYAGGTGCACCTGTGTAACCAGGTAGGGGCGGGGGAGGAGGTGGGGGAGGGGGAGGAGGAGGAGGAAGAAGGGGAGCTGGCAACCCTGGTTTAAGAGGAGAGGCCTGGGGACCAGATGGTAATGAAGACGGTAATGCTCCACTCTTGGGTGGAGGTACGYCTCCAAACTGAACACATAAAACACAAAAAAACAGAAATACATTCGTGTACAGGTTACTGCTTAAAACACAAAAGGCAAATATTCCAATTTTATATTAAAATATAACAGTAAAAAATACATTTTTGTAAAAACATTTGAAAAAACTCATTTAATTTAAAATCCTGGTAAAACCTTAATCATTAAATCCTAAAACCTGTAGCTTTGGGCTCTGTGCCCATCCAACTTCGTCCAAATTCAAACTACCAAAACTCAGAAAATCTAAAATAAATGAGCAACACTTGTTTTAATTAGCTCTTGGTACCAGTCTCTGTAAAAGATTCAACAGAAGAACATAATAACCAAACAGCTCACTAAACCGAGTGCACGGTTCTTAACAAGAGGGTGAGTTTCTGTCTCAAGGCAAGAGTCCAAGAATCTGGGGGTCTTGTTGATAAGTGATGGAAGGATGGATGGAGATGGATCAACAGATTGGGACTACATAAAAATTTATTTTTCCACACTTTCTCTTCCATTTTCACTATCATCTAAATCAGAATGTGGTTTAAATCAAGGCCAGTGAGAGTCTGTTGAACTGACCATTTATAATACTAGTGTGCAGAACATGAATGCATGTTACTCAAACATAATGACCTACGATTTACTGCAGTCCAAGCAGCCCTCTGTAAAATTGATATTGTGCTCACTGATGTTGCAATGACTATAAATCTGTTATATTGTACGGCCCCAGTATGGATCATGACCGAACAAATGAAATCTCTGGTATAAGCAGCTAAAATTGGCTTCCTCCATAAGTTGGTCAGGTTCAGTGTTAGAGATAAAGCGAGGAGCTCCATTCCTCCAGGGATGCTCAGAGTAGAGTTACCGCTCCTCCTCATCAAAAGGAGTCAGATGGTGGTTCGAGCATCTGATTAGGATGCGTCCTGAATGCCTCCCTCTAGAGGTTTTCCAGGCACATCCCACTTAGAGGAGGCCCAGAACTTTATGTCAGGATTATATATCCTCGCTGCCCTGGAAGCTGGAGAGTGTCGCTGGAGAGGGGGATGTCTGGTCATCCCTCCTGGACTTGTCTCTACAACCCAAACATGGCTAAAGCAGCAGAAAATGGATGTATGGATGCTTTGATTAAGTTCAGCAATCTATAAAGAAGATTGTGACTATAGGACCGTGAAGATGAACAGCAAAAGTGAAAACTTAGAAAAGTGTTATTTTCTATGTTTTTATTTTAAGTTATTAAGGAATATTTACAACATTCCGAATAGTCAGGATTGAGTAACTTCAAGTAATTTTAGGTAAATATATTTTTCAGTTTTCCTTCAAAATGACCTTTTCTTTGGGTCCACGTCAGTACGGTGAGAAAAATCACAATACTTTCTTTAAATACTTTGACAGACCCAAGGTTACATTTGACACAGCTAGTGTTCACCGCTGATGGCAGTGAATTTCCAAGTTTTATTTTAAGTGAAGGGAAATGTTCAACAACTAATGCAAATGTTCTATAAAACACAGCAACTGAGATTACAGACAAAAGAAGAATAAAAGCCAACATCTGTCAGTTAGAACAGAGATTCTTAACCTATGGGCCYCGACCCACAAGCGCCACCTTGAGGGCCTCAAAAGAACAATGGTTTTTAACTTTGGGCCYCAGAGGGCCGTGGGATCGCACTGATTTTGAACAAGGTGTAATACACTTTCTCACCACTAGTAGCAGTAGTACTCGACTTAGTTGTTTAACAACTTTTTTAATTTGTAGAAGAACCGTAGAAACCTGCTGAGAATGGAAACTTATTTTAAATGAAAAGTAGAAGCAAAAATGAAAGTAACTCATCAAAAAACAC